TCTAATTTAACTGTTTATTTCTTGTATTGTATATTTATCTGTATATGATTTAACAGTTCATTTCTCGTTATATATCTAATTATCTTTATGATTTAACATTTCATTTATCGTTTTATATATCTAATTCTCTTTATAAATAAATATATTATATTATCAGGAATTTGTTTTTATCTCTCTAGAGAACCCTGTCTAACACATTATTATAATGTCAACCTCTGTAGAACCACTTCCCAATACAAGAATCAGACCACTGGGACAACACCCCAGAAGACGTTAATATGTCTTTCCTAACTAGACCCCACTGTTTCTCCAAAGTTAACTTGTAACCCAACCTTGTAGAGCAATCACTTCCTTGCTTTTCTGGATAGCTCTACGACCTAATGTTCATCTCTAAACATGATTTGCAATGTTGTATAAACAGAATCAGACTGCAGTTCATTTCTCTTCTGTGATTTTTGTTATGATCTCTCCCTCTCAACTGAGCCACCAGAAAGGCTGGACTGGTCAATAAATGCTGCTGGATCAAGGATGTATCTTCCTTTAAAAAGATCACTTTTGACAATGTCCCACATGACATATTAATGAATAATTCCTTTGCACATCTACATGCCATCACTCACCTGTCAGGTTGTCATGGGTGGTGGATTGTGTGGCTGTGTTGCTAGAAGGTATGGCACTGATATTCTGATACCATCAAGGTTGGTAGAACAGTCTCAGTGGAGCGTTTAGTTTGAGAGTCAGAGCTTCTAGAGCAGGAGGAAAGACCTGGAGATCTAATTCTGTAAAAACTGAGCAGCAACGATCTTCTGAACAGCATCACAAGATTTTTCTGATATAGTAGCAGAAGATAGGCCTGTCAGGCGATAAAGTGCTCAAAATTAAACTGAGGAAGAGCTGGTTGTACAGACCAGACTCACCTTTAATGGTGTGGATGGAGTAAAGCTGTCAGGACCTTTATTTGATGATATGGCACACCTCAAAATGAGGTCAAAGAGATATAATATCAATTAATAACCATATGGTAGAATACAAAAGTTATTCATCTAAAAAATGTATAAGTTGTCAAAAATGGAATGGTAGTGCTCATTTTGAATCAGGCAAGCATGTTTCACAACTCATATGCAAATAGAATTTTCTGAGGTATTAAAACCATTTGCAGCAATACATCATCAGGAAGTGCCAAATATTCAAGCCAAACACAGAGGACCTGCAAGGAAACTTGTCAGATGGATCTCAGCAGAAAGCAAGATCTCAGGGAACTCATCAGGCTTTATCAGACCAGTAAGTCTCATGTCTAAAATATTTGTTTCATTGTTCTTTCTTCTACTCTAAGACCTTCTACTGTGAAACCAATGAAAGTCGCTGGAATTTGTAGCCCGGCACCATCTACTTCTGCTGGGCCCTGGGTACTGGAGGCTGTGGTTGGCATTATCTACCAGTCTTTAGATAGACTCTTTCCTTGAGTCTTTGATTTTCTCCTCTCTTCTTTGCTCCGGACAGGGAGGGAACAATGGTTGCATCCTGGGTGGCTGCTGTCAAGGTTGAAATACCTCTGACCCTACTTTCCAATCTGGGATGTAGAGCATTGTCTTGGGAATGTGGATGAAGTTAGGCCAGTTGACCTCCGTGACCCTCAAGACAGTGATTCTAAGCTCTCAGGCTCAGGCACTCATTCCCTCAGGGTGTTTACTTTAGCTCAGAAATTTTCACTGTTGTATTGACTCAGTTTCTTCTTTAACTACTTTATAGCCTTTGTCCCATTTGATATTGTGCTGTTGTTCATTTATTTATTAAGGTACTGAATATTTACTTGATAAGAATATTAGTTTTATATTTGTCTTATATTTGGTGAATTTCCCCTGAAGTTTTGCATATTTCATTAATTTGTGATTTTCTCAATGCATAAAACAAAACCCTACCATTTTTATCAACATTTTACTCCAGTATCTTGTTCATTTCAAGAATTTATAAAGAGGCCTTCTTCTTTAAAGATTATATAATTGATTTATTGAGATATAGTATAGATATTACAAGATTATCTTCTTGGAGATATAAAGTTCAATGATTTTAGAAAATGTTTAGACATTTGCCCCTGTCCGTGGAACAAAACTTCAGAGCATTTTCATACTCAAATAGTTCACGTTTAATTTTATATATCACATTCCTACCCCAAGTTTTGAGAACCACAGCTTTGCTTTCTGAGTCTATAAATTTACCTCTTCTAAACTTTTGGCATATAAAAAAAAATCAAATAATTTTTTGTCTGACATTTTTATCTAATTAAATGTTTTTAGAGTACATCCCTTAAGTAGAATATATTTGTAAGTTGTCCCTTTTATTGGTGAAGAATATTTCATACAACACATATTACAAAGTTTGTTCATGCATTTTCTAGATGGTGGATATTTGATTAATTTGGACCAGGGCTATTATGTGCATATATTAACATTTTCATATTTATTCCTGTGAAAGCTTATGCTCTTATTTCCCTTGTGTGAGTTACAAGAGATAGAATTGCTGGATCGTATGTCATCATGGACAATTGAAAAACCATTGAAGCTGTCAAGGGTTGCATCCTACTTGAATCTACAACCAACATCCACGGTGGCAACAATCAAGAAATCACATGCCATTTTGCATTAGGAAAGTCTACTGCAAAGAACTCTTTACAGCAGTAAAAAGCAAAGCTGACACTTTTGAGGATTAAGTTATATTTGACCCAAACTGCGTTGACTTTCTCCTTGCAAACACGTGATAGCTGGGTAATGTGTAAGGAAGACCAACAGATAGATGCATTTAATGAAGGCAGGGGTGAAAAATTAGCATATACAATAGACTACCAGAAGAACAGACACATCTGTGTTGGAAAGAATACAGCTGGAATTCAGGAGATTGGCAGGTCTTCTTCTCCCTTATTTTGGACATGTGATTAGGAGGGACCCATCCTTGGAGAAAGGCATCATGTGGACTATCATAAAGCATCCACGAAAAAAACAAAACAGGAGACCCTTGCCAGCTGGTGTGAGACAGTGGTCAACAGCTAACTAAAATATAGCCCACCAGGGAGGATGAGCTATGACCATGAAATATTGGTTACAAAATATATTTCTGAGTCAGGACTCTCTTCGTGTAACTTAAAAAACGGTCAGATGTCGAAGTTGGTAAGAGATTGGCAAATGGATTCTTGAGGTCTTGGTAACTTCAGAAATCAGCCTCAGGAGTCATGATGACAAATGTATTTGTAAACATGCTCCAGGCTAGATACTGATACGATGGTATTCGTTTCCATAATAATATCTGGTTTGCTAATTTTATATTCGCTTTATGTATTATTGAAAGGAATGCATTTATTAACAACAGGAAAGTCTGCTGTGATCTTTAATTGGACCTGATATATTTGGTCACTTACTTCTAGACTGTGATTCACTGATACATTTAACCAACAATAAATCAACCCCAACACTGTGTTTCCTCAGAAAGATCTATTTTTCAGCTTCATTCTACTTCTTTTTCCAAAAAAAAATTTTATCTTGAAGAATACGGATTTCTTCTTACAAATTACATATCAGCATGTTAAGTTCTGCAAATCTAGTATCCCTGCTCTTACTTGATTTTTAAAAGTAGTAGTTGTATCTGTGGCAGACATTTTGTATTCAATAAATAGACACAAAACACACACACAAAGTCTAACAAATGAATCGATGATGCCCAACTAGAAGAAATTTATTCAACATACTGGAAATGTAATAATTCTACATACTATGTTTTATTCTCAATTGTCTCCTGTCTGTTCCCATGGTGCTAAGGACCCTGTGTATTTGTCTCTGAAGATGCACATCAGTAGGAGATCATCAGGATTTGGGTGCATTAAAGGGCTTTCTCTTATGCAATCCTGCCTTATGTACAAAGCACAAAAGGAGGGGAAAAACAGCCAAGGAAGTAAGGACATCTTCCAGATCCACATTTGACCCAAATTAAGAAATATAAATGAAACCGTGCTATTTTTCCTCCTTTTTTTTTTCTATTTCTTTTCTTGAAGTTATTGCAGAAAGTTGATTTTTCTTGAGAATTCTTTTGAGTTTCCGTGGGGAAACATTTATAAAGTAATACGAGGGGAAGCTGAGTTCAGAGAGATGCTAGGAAGTAAGGGTTGAATAAGAAGGAAACTAAAGGACAATGAGCACAGACACAATAAGCAACAGTGAGGGCCTCCAGAGGAAGGTCGGGTCTGGGGAAATCCATCGAGGAGGATTTTTTTCTGTCTGGTCACTGAACCAAGATGAGTCAGATGCTGAAGAAGCACTCTATAGTAGAAGACAGGAGAAAACTTCAAAATCTTTTCATATGTTGCAAAAATTGGGACAGAGATTCCTTCTTGAGGGTCACGATCTTCACTTCAGCTCAGGAGACCTGAAGAAGAAACACAAGAATGTTGCTCCAAACATCCCCTATAAGCAACTTCTCCCCTCCACCGCCCCCACTGCCAGCTCTCAGAACCTCATGGTACAGCAGCCCACCAAGGAGAAATGAAAACAAACTCATAATCAACCTCTGACGTTCCCATAGTGCAATGCTACCTGAGAGCTCAGGGCTGTTAAGCTGAAGAAGTATCTGTCATACAGACTCCCTGATCAGAAGCCTGAATCCAAAGGTTTCCTAGTATTTCTGTCTCCTGTCTTGTCACCCCTACTAGCAACTAGAGGAGAACGAGGTGTAATTTTAAAGAAGAGTAAGTGTTAATACCTGTGGGTTGAAGTCCAGAGTGTCCTGAAAAAAAAGAAAGATATGGATTCATAAGAAACAGAGGCAAGTCTGTCCCCATAGCCCAGGTCTTCATTTCCAGAGGTCCCACCTGAGAGCTGTCAACTACAGCAAGTCATACGACAGCAGAGTCTGAGGACCTGCCCTGTGTGAACAGTCTGACATGCAAACCCAGCCTGAGGGTCTTAGCCTGGGGGCTCTCCCTTCCTTTGACCCAGCAGCTTCACCCAAGATCTATCTCCCTGCATAGAAGCCTTTTTTTGGCTGCTGCAAGCTGTGAGCACTTTGCTTTGACAAAAACCCATGAACTTCTGATGTCTTGCTGTGACGGAATGTGGAGTTTGGGGGAAATCAGAGTTTCACACTGTTACTACAGAACACTGACTAGAATGCAGCTGGATTTTCTCCCTCAGAAGGACTCTCAGAAGGGATTGTAGTCACGGACAGCGTCCTTACCTTTCTGGTTTCTGAAGTGGATGAAGAGCCCAGCCCCAAGGAAGAGCAGACCCAGGACAAAGCCCCCGATGCCACTCAGCATCTTGCTCTGTGCAGATTCCGATTGTGCTCCTGGAGAAAAAGCCAGGATCAGTGATTGTTACCACAAAGCTACCTTCTCACACTGAGACCCAGAGAACGGGGAATGAATTCTGTTATGTATTATGCAATTCTCTGATGTAAAATAGAAAATCTGGTCACTTCTGGAAGAAAAATTAAAAATTCAAATTGAGTAGATACAAAGCTTGGACATAGAACTCATCAACATTCACCAATCTGACATGAGATGTTTGACCAGGAGCTGATGTGTAAGAACCTGGGACTCCAGGACATTAAGTCGCTTGTCTAGAGGGACTGAGCTCATGAAAGGCAGTGCTGAGATTTTATTCCCCTGGAGCAGGCGGGCCCTGCCTTGTAGAGGAAGCTCACAATGAACATCTGTACAGAGAGGGCCAGAGCAGCCGCACAGGAAGTAGAAACTCAGCCACAGAAACAGGGGGTGGTACCCAGAGTCAAGAGGTGATCATGCCCCATGATATCTTGAGAAGATTCAAAGCAGAGACAACTTCTTTTCTGCTTCCCATCCTTCATTATTTCTACTAGGACATAAGGATTTGTGGAAATTTCCACAGAACTTTATCAATGACGTAAGTTAAGGAGATGAAAACTGGGAGAAAATGGAAATATGGTGTGGGAAGAAGAGAAATCTGACATTCAGGGATAAACCAAGTCCCCCTCCTCGGTGAGTGAGAAGTGTATGATATCAGAGAGAGCTGCTCACTCCACTCCACGGTGACAGGGCTGGTCAGGCTCGGGTGCTCCACTTGGCAGCTGTAAACCTCTCCACTCTGAGGAATGACTTCCAGCATCACCAGCATCTGGAAGGTCCAGTCTCCATTCTGGATCAGGCCTGTGGACACAACCCCAGCCTTCTCTTCCTTGCCATTGCGGAACCATCTGACTTCAATGTGGCCTGGATAGAAACCATTCACGGAGCACACCAGGAGGTTGTGGTGCTGCAGGGGCTGAGTCTTGGCAGGATACACACTCACCACAGGCTCCACTAGGAGAGAAAAGGCAGAGAGATCAGCGAGGGAGACAGAGGAAGTCTTGCTCTGCTGCTCCTCCGTTATTCAAATTCAGACTTCGGTCTTGGGCAAGCCTCCCTCACAGCTGCTCAGTGTGCCCTGGGTCTGCAATTTGATCCATCTAACATGGACTCATGGGTTTGAAATACACAAGGAAAATTGCGTGTTTTCAATATAAGGGACAGTTATTCACTGTTGAGGTGTTTACGGAATTTTGCAAGGCATGTATTTTTTTTTAATTACCTGCACCTCAGCTTTCTTATTGTTACCAAGCCCAAAGCCCCTGCCACTGAATTTATTCTGACCCACAGCCACCCTAAAAGACAGAGGAGAACTGTTTCTCAGGCTGCCAATCTTTAAGGAAACAAAGAATGTCTTATTTTTTGAGTAGATGGTCTGGTCATTTGAACTTGTGGCCTTTTCAATTTTGCCCAATGCTTATCCACTGGGAAACCAGGATTTCTCTTCTCAACCATAAAGGATGATAATAGTAATATCTTATCTTTGAGAGTCATATGATAATAGATAAAATTAAAATATATAAAACTGAACTTAGCCTTCAACAGATTATTATCTATTTTACTATTATAAATATATTATTTTTCAAATTATAAATAAATTATTCTCTGTTTTAACCCAGTTGTTATCCTTGTTTTCTCTGAGAGAAAATGTGATTCCAGTAGGAAGGATAGGTTGGGATAGGTGGGGAGGTAAGAGGCTGCAGCCCTAGTATCCCATCTTGATCCGCTCACACCTTAAAAGCCACAGCAGAGCTTCCCCTACTGGGAAGCAGGACAGACAGAGGTGATGCGCTCACTGTATGAATTGTGACCCAAGGAGGCCATGAGTTCTGGACGAGGTTGAAAGTAGCACTGAAATCCATCCATTTAAAAGTCACAAGTCTCTCTACTTTATCAGAACATACTGACCCAGTACTGGGTAGTGGGTTTCCATCCCTGTCTCTTTTTACAACCATGTCTCTTTTTAATGAGACATCTGAGGTCAGGACCCAGTCTAGAGCTCATTACTATATCAGTTTAATGAAACCCCTGATATACTTGACAGAACCATCAGGAAATACATTATAAAAAGTAGAATGCAATTAAGAGACCACAGTTGTAGTACCAAATACCTGGAGCTTTCGGGTTGATGAGGAATCATAAGTAATAATTTTTAATGTATGTCATTGAATAAAAGTGTTTAAATCTTAACATTTAAAATAGCAGAGTCCAGCTATAAACCACACACTGAGGAAAGCCAAATGAAATATCACCAATATGTTAATAATCTCAATTTCCAGAGAACTGATTTCTCTGAAGAAACTATAGAAACCCAGAGATAATAGTTAATAATTCTAGAGTAATTACAACTGGCCAATAGACATATGAAAATATTTAGCAACTTCAGAAATAAAACGTACAAATTGATACTTAAATGGAAGTTTCACTGAGCACTTGGCGATACTACAAATAGCTCATGAGGCACACTGGGCTGCAGCTCTACACAGTCATCCTAGAGGACAAGGGGAAGACTAGGAGTGAGCATATAAAAGAGCAGCAGCACAGTCACCAACACAACTGATCGTCAACCAAGGGCCCGAAACATTCCATGGAAAGAGGCAGCCTCCTCACTAAGTGGACCTGGCCAAACTGGAGCCACCTCTGCAGGAGAATGAAGCAGGACCCAGTCCCGGCCCAGGAACAACCTCCAGAAAGGTGTGTGCAGGGTGTCTCCTCTCCCCACACTCCTTCACTCCTGATGCTGAGCAAATAATCAGAGGAGCTGGATGGCATGAAACGTCAGGTATCGGTTTCTAAGAAGGCATATCATCGCACTGAGAATAAAGAAGGGGTGCCCATGCCCAACCACTGCTGCTCAGTATCCCAGATGTCCTTGCTACATAGTCCAGGGTGAGTGTGGACTCAATCCTGGGCCAAAGCCGTGCACTCACTCACTGAAGGAATGGGCAGGGAATGAGCTTGTACAAAGCAAATGAGTACACACACTGTCCCAACAGAGACCTCGGCCCAAGAATCACGTGAATTCTGGACGAAGACGAACTTGATTCCTGGGTGAGCTCAGAGAGACTCTACTGACTGTGGCACATCTTCCCAGGGACTTTAAGGAGCCACTGTGCTCTGTGGGACCACCTGCAGGTCTCTGCTCTGTGATGGACGCCTTCACGCAATGTTGTCTTTTTGTCCATGCCCATCTCCAGGAACAGTTCAGCTATGTAACAATGTAGATGTGTATGTTTTTTAACAAGAGCAAAACTTTTGGGGTCTGTAAAATTCATGGCAGTTAACTGTTGCCAACGGCCGTTCACGATATGACCCAGGGGAAGAGGGAAAGTGAATCAGCTGTACTGTCTCAGTTGATTCCTTACAAGCCTTGAAGTGGTTCTCTCAGAACAGAGACCCCAACGACCTGCCCCTGCAGATGACTCCTGAGTCCAGGGCGGCCACCAGCCGGACAACAAGCACAAGGTCCTCAAGTCTGGGGGGATTGCGAGGGAGCAGCTATTCACCTCCCTGCACCAAGCTGACCCCAGCACCTTCAGTTTCTCCCAGTCCCTGCTCTAGACAATAAACCCATGGGCTGCAGATGGTTATCGGGGTCTTTGCCCCCCCCCCTCAGAGAGCCCCCATCTCAGACAGCCCGTGGGAAATGATGAGCCCCGTGTCTGCTCTGTGTCCCCACAGTGACGGCATCCCGAAACAGCCCTTCTGGGGTCCCGGAGTCTCAGAATTCCCATCCCTCCCACCAGGGAGAACTCCATCCATGACTCAGGTCCTGTGCCCTCAGTCACATGTTCACACAAACAAACACGCAAAGAGCGCACGATGTTTATTTCCGGGATTTTCTGACTGGGAACAAAGGATGTAAGGACGGTCTGTGACTAACTTCACAGGACCCCCACTGTCCCCTTTCCGCCTCTGTCCCCACGGACTCCCCAACCCCATCCTCCTGACCTCCCCACCCCCAGGTCTCCCAGGACCCCCAACCCGCTCCCAGGTCAGGTCCTTTCCCCGCAGCCCCGCCTTCTCCCCATCCCAGCTCTCCCCCTGCGCCCCAAGGATGCCGGAGAGTCCCCTCCTGCACCCACACCCTCCACACCCATACTGCCCTCCCGCTGTCCCCACAAGACGGACGGACACACACACACACACACACACACACACACACACACTCACCTCGACGCTGCACAGAGAAGCCGTCAAATACCCCGTAGTTGTGTCTGCAGACCGTGTCCACCTCGGCCCGCTTCCGCTCTATGAACTCCTTCTGGCTGTTCCAGTACTCGGCGTCCGGCCGGCCCAGCTCCGTCACCGCCCGGTACTCCCCCACGTCGCTGTCGAAGCGCACGTCCTCCACTCCGTTATAGATGTCTCTGTGCACCAACCGCACCCGCTCCGTCCCGTTGGTGAAATGACACTCAAATATATTCATCTCCAGGAAGTGTGCTGTGGGGACAGGGAAGAGCCAGTCAGCAAGGACTCCTGGGGAGAAACCCACCCCCATCACTCCCAGTGGGCATCGCCTGGCAGCAGTGGGGGCGCCCAGTCTCCCAGGCCAGCCCCTCTGGAAACTTATCACCTAGGACCCCACCCCCACCCCACCCATTCCCCTGCCTACCTGAGCAGGGCAGGGCCTTCCCTCCTGTCCCAGGGCCTGGGGGAGACCCCCTGCTCAGACTCGGGCCTCAGACTCCACTTGGGAGCCCAGGAGGGTCTGTCCCTGTCCTGTGTCTACACAGCCTTTCCCTGCAGCCCCTGCTGTCACAGGCTTCCCTGCCCCCCAGCTCAGAGTGAGGGGAAAGGGGCAGAAAGACCCCGGAAATGGAAGGGGCTCCAGGCCTCAGGCAACCACTCGGCCTCATTCATTTGTTCCTACATGGTTCAGCCTGTGAGGAATCCATTTGCCTTTGTTGCTTTTCCTTTACCTCAGAAGTTAGAGATCAATGCAACTATTATCTCAATAATAAGGACCAACATGTTCTCTAAATTGACAGTAGAATAAACAAACAAACAAACAAACAAAAAATGAAAAGCCAAACTCCACGAGTTGATTCTGAATCACAGAGACCTCAGCTGACAGGGGACATGTGCCTCTGCGGGTTTCTGAGACTGTCACTTTACAGCAGTGGAGAGCCTGCTCTTTCTCACACTGAGCCCTGAGGGTTTCAAACTGCTGATCTCAGGGGGAGCAGCCCACCATGTAACCCCTAGGCCTCCCTGGAATACAGAACGACCGGATTAAGGAATTGTTAAGAATCTATGATTTCATATGATCTACTTCTATCCCCTTCTGATTTGTTTTCATTTGCTCAGCAGCAAAATGTCAAACACACAATTCCTTTGTCACTTTAAGTCCAATCTGAAAAAAAAAAAAATTGTTGAAAACTACCTACACTGAAGCTCATGCTTCTGAGTTCTAGGGGGAAAAACAAGATAAACTGTACTGTCTACTATCTGAGAGCGCTACCACCCCTGACATCGGGGCAGGGCACAGTGTGGGGAGAGAAGGTGGTGTTGGTGAGCCCACATCCTGGGACAGGGCAGCAGGGTTGTGGGCATGACTTTCCCAAAGTTCTCCCCTGGGCACCTCTCTGCCGCCCTTCTTTGCTCAGGGAGTAAGTGAGAAGTACCAAAGCCTGACACCTTTCCTTTAGCAATCAAAACTAATAATGTGACTTTCTCCTTTCCAAATGTGTGTCTCAAAGTACTGGTACTTTCATGTCAGCCCAAGGCAGGGGAACCGGTTTTTCCCAAAATGAAACCTCATGGAGCCAGTAGGTGGTGAAACCTTGTGGGTAATATTCACCATTTAGGTTTGGTTATAAATAACAGGACATGAGGAACCATTGCTTTAAGCAGATAAAAACCAGGATCCAATATGGGTTAGCTGTTCCTTATATACAATAGAAAATCAAAAGTTATCATAAAACAAAATATGAGGAAAACATTTGAGTTTAATGATAAAACTCATTTGTCACAGAAAAGTGGGTGAAGGGAGATGCCAGGCAGTGTAAGATATGATAAAATAATAATTTATAAATTATCAAGGGTTCATGAGGGAGGGGGGAACAAGGAGAGAGGGGCAAAAAAACAAAAAGAAAAATGAAGAGCTGATTCCAGGAGCTCAAACGGAAAGTGAGTGTTTTGAGAATAATGAGGGCAACGACTGTGTACGTGTGCTTTACACAATTGATGTATGTGTGGATCATGATGAGTTTTATGAGCCCCAATAAAATGATTTTTTAAAAATCATTTGTCAAATCTGACCTGGTTAGAGGTCAGATGTGCCTCAGAGCTCTGACCTGCAGCGTGTGCTTCAGTGTATTCTTGTGATTTCCTTTTTAAGTTTAATCAAAGTGTGCATGGAGTTTAGGGGAGCTTTGATGATTGTATAACCCCACTCAATGGGATTGAATAGCAGAGTTGTATGTGAGCAGATATAATGGACTGTGTGAGATATGTCAATAAAATTATTATAATAAACATTTTTAGGAGGCATTGACATAATCAAAGTTTGGGGTGTAGAACTACTGTGAGTGATTGAGGAGTTGTATTGGAAACTACTCGTGGCTCTTAGCACCATGTCTGACTTAACAGAAGAAAGGTAAGGATACTGTGAACCACATAAAGTGAGCAGAAGTGGTGACGACAAAGAATTTCTGAGAGATTGCAAAGCAAAAATCTAAACCTCGTACCCCTTGGATCGATAAGATAATAAAGTGGGAACCTTTGCAGAGAAGCAGCCTAACGGGAATTGGAAGGTGTGTGTAGGTATAACATCAGAAACAGTACATTGTAAGCTAGTATTGGCAAACTTAGCAAAGTTGACAGTTTAAAATGAATAATTCTCCACTGTGGGTGGCTCTTGACTGTCAGATATTGAGCAGCATCCCTGGCTTCTCCCCAACTCCCTACCTGCAGCATCTCCCCAGTGCTGACAAACCAAATGCTCCAGACTTGGACAAGTGCTTCCAGAGGGACAACACTGTCTCTGGTGGAAACCACTGAGGCAAAACATCTGAAGAATCAGAGCCGTAAAAGTCAATGTTAACGATAAAATGTGTGGCAATTGCATGGATGTTTTTTGCCAATATTACATCTGAAGAAATTCTTAGTATGAAACACATTTACTTGTTGGCTGGAGTGTGTGGTGGGGGTGATCCTAAGGACAGGATTCTTAGAAAGAGACAGCAAGCATTGATAAAGTCCAATGAGAGAATGTGAAAAAGCATCATGGATCCTAAAAGCAGCTGAGTAAACTTCTGCAAGTTGTCACCAAACAAACTGAGCAGCGAAAACGGTCACTGCATTAGGTCGCCAGAACTGTGACATTGGGGTATGAATTGTGAGCATCTTTTCACCAGAATAAAAATAAAAGGAGGACAAAGAAAGGAAAAAGCTCCAGCCTGGGTGTCAGAAAGGAGTGAGTGTTTTCCATGTCATTCATTGTCAACAAGGGAACCATAGATGGCCAGAGATGAGCTTACTGGCTGGTTTATTGGTCCCTTTCCATCGATGGTCTCCATTGAGAATAGACCAGCTGCCATAGGAGAAAGCAAAAAAAAAAGAAGTTGTCTCTGTAAAACTACCTCCTTCTTCTCATCCACCATTTTATATAAAAACTGGATCATTTTCCCCCATGATACATTTGTATTGAAGCTTAAGTCTGAGGATTCACGAAGAATCTCACCCCATGAAGGTCCTATGAAAAGCCCCTCCCATCGAGCCAGTCCCAACTCCTAGCACCTCTACAGGACAAAGTAGAGCCGCAGGGTGTCCAAGTCTGTCACCTTTAAACCCGGAGCCCTTATCTCATAGACAAGCAGATAACTGTAACTATTTCCCAGGGAACACGACTGGGTTTGAACCACCAACCTTTAGGGTAAGTAGCCCAGTACTATAAACAGTTGTGACATTCTTTGTCTGCTGAAGTTTACACGAGTCTAGGAATCCAAAACATTCTAGAGAAAGACTCAGCGCTAGTTCTTGTTAAGGTGCTCATCAATAAATCAGCCTTAGATGTTAGGCACAGATTTGGGGCTCTGTCGATTTTGCAAATGAGCAAGCAGATGCAGCTTTTAGAAACCTCCATATAAATAATGATAAGGGAATTATATTTAACCTCAGTGTAGGATGATAGTCTATCAGATGAAAGTTTAAATGAGTCAGAGAAAGCCGACATCACAGGCGTGCTGAGCACTGACCATTAGACCCTTGTTGGACATCCTGGATGATGGGAGGATGGCAGTGGTGACGAGGAGAGCACAGGTGGAAAGGTTCCCAAAGATGACATGGCAGGAATAGGAGAGGGGTTAACTAGCACCCTTGAACAAGGCGCATCCCCCTTACAGTCAGAGAACACTGCAGCTTCCTCAGGTAGAGGGACCCTGCTGACACCACGCTGCAATGAGGCGGGAAGAGACTTTAGTGTGACAGTCTGCTCAGTGTGGCTTCCTCCTTGTGAAAAGGGATGAATCCGTCCCTTTTAAAAGAAGAATTGCCCAACTCAATGTGATGAGGAAGATAATAATGCCCCTCATGTGCTTGCTATTCTGAGATCCTTGAGTTATAGGATGAACTATGTTGAGGATCAATAATTAGCTTATGGTTCATCATATGTTAGCTTTAAGTATCACTGTATATTTTCTCTTATACAACATGTTCTAGTGTTTATTCTATAGTTACCAAACTATTTTATTTTCTAGTTCTTATGATGACCGTGTGCTTCAAAACTCCATATGGCCCTTATTCTGCAGCATGAATATTCATAATTTTAAGTGCAGAAAATTCCTGTTTTCCTGTGGATTGCTGCCTTCTCTTCCATCGAAGATGTTCGGAATTAATTGAGAACATAATTTTTTTAATAACTAAAAAGAAACACATGCAAAACGATGAAAGAAATACACAAATGAAAAAACATAAATTACATAAATAAGTATTAACTAAAATACATCTGGTTCTTCGAATTTAAAAATTGTAATTGTAGAACTCTGCATGTTCTCAGATCTCACTGATAACACAGTGTACAGTTATCTGGGTGTGGAAGAGAGGAAGACTATGTGGAAGAAGGTGTTAAAACACTGTTTAAAAAAAGAAAACAGAAGCGTGGAAGAGAAGACATGCGTGTAGGGACTACTGGAATCATGCAGTCGTGAGCGGCTGGTGGGCAGACAGAGTTCTTTTGGAGAGAGCGTCCATGTGTATGTGCCTGGATTGAAACATAATTGCTGCCTGAGGGAAGAGTGTAGTGTGACAGGCACTAACCCAAATGTTTTCCACATGTCATCTCTTTTAATCCACAAAACAGCTCCATGAAGATGGTGCTATTTTCCTCACTGGACAGCTGATGGGACTAAAGCACACCGGAGCTCAATGACTTTCCATGGGCAAAGATTTCATGGCAAGTGACGTAATGATTAGATCTCAGGGGATCTGGCTCCAGCCTCCTAGCACTTCACCAGGACACTGTAAGTGATTACCAATATGTCCTTGGCCTTGTACCGTAGTGCATGTGTGTGAGTCCTTCCTAGGAAAGGTGGACAGTGTGCTCACAATCGCTAAATACAATAAATTATTTTCAATAATCACTAGAGACCACCAAAGTCCTAAAGTTATCCAAACACTCAAAATACTTAGACATTTGTTATTTTATATTGTCTCCATATTCCAACTTTGTGATCCCCTGTTCTTCTAAACTATAATGAACTCAGGACCATGTGTCATATTAGATCTCTGCTAATTTCATTCTATTGACCTACATCTGATTTTTCAACCCTTCCGTTTGTAGGCCTTGTGTATAATAACTGCAGAATACTCCCATGCTTTATGCTGAGAGAGCAGATATACTTTGCTCATTGCTGTGTCCACTTAGCTAGGGCAGTGACTGCTGTATTTTAATGAAACAGAACAACCAAAACCCAAAGCACTGCGATCAGGTGGATCCTGATGCATAGCTAGCATGCATTGTTGGTCAAGGCTGTAAGTCGTTACGGGAGCAGATAGCCTCCTGCTGCTCCACGTGTTCTTTAGGCTAGCAGTGTTTCCTAGGGGAAGTCATGAAGTCACTCTAGGACTCCCTTCCAGGGGTCCCCAAACGTTTTAAACAAGGGGCCAGTTCACTGTCCCTCAGACTCGTTGGAGGGCCGGATTATGGTTAAAATATATATATATAAACAAATTTCTGTGCACACTGCACGTATCTTATTTTGAAGTAAAAAAATAAACCGGGCAAAAACACCCTGCAGGTTGGATAAATGTCCTCGGCGGGCCGCATGTGACCCGCGGGCCGTAGTTTGAGGCTCCCTGCATCGTCTAATCATCTCTGCTTGTCAGTTGCTTCCAGCGTGAATCCAGGCCCTTTTATTCTTAGTGTACGTCCAGCTGATTCTTTGGTCCCACAGCACAAGCTCTCTGTAAGGCCAGCTTCTTAAAGGAGTCCCTTCTACTCCTGCGGCCACGTCCTCGCCTTCCATGCTCTCTTCAGTGAGTCACCAACCGAGACACACCGCTGGCCCTGCCGGTGTCAGTGCTCATGATTCTCTCACGTCCTCACTCACCGAGAATCTCCCACTTCTCAGAGGGGCTCGTCACCATGGCCCGCGTCCTCCTTCTGAAATCAAATGTGCTCTGCTTGGCTTCTGTGCATCAGCTCCTTCTCTTGGTTTTCCTCAGGAGCAGTGGTGCTCCTGCTCAGTCCCCTCGACAGACTCATTTTCCGATATCAAATTTTTAAAGTGCAGATAACTCAATGCTAGCCTATGACCCTCTCCTTATTTTCATTTCTTTTTTGAGATTTTAATGTATTTATTATATAAGTGGAATGTCTTCTTTTAAAAAAAATCATTTTATTAGGGGCTCATACATCTCTTATCACAATCCATATATACATCAATTGTGTAAATCACATTTGTTCATTCATTGCCCTCATCATTCTCAACACATTTGCTCTCCACTTAAGCCCTTGGCATCCCCTCTTCTTGTTTTCTATCTAGACAATCTCTGCTCACATACATTCCTCTACCTTCTAGTATTTCATAGATTTTAATGATACCAACTTCTTTATCTACAGTGCTAAGTTCTCTCTAGTTCAAGTCTCAGATATTTAATTGGTCTCTTCACATCTTATCATGAATGTCAAAATGGTATACGAAACCTAACTTAAAACCTTTATTTTTGTATCCTCCCCCATGAAATCATTTCTTCTTTTGATTTTTACAAACTCACTTAACAGCATTGTGGCTTCGGTGTCAATGTGGCTGCAATAGAATTCTCTAACCATGATGGGGGCTGCTTGGAGCAACCAAGAAGTTGTGGAAAATTAGAGAGGGAGGCAAGTCCTTTAATCAGGTCACAGCCCTGATGCATTGCAAACAAGTTTGCTTGGGGGTCTGACCTACTGCTCATATAAGTAGACGCTATAAGAAAGCTGGTTTGCTTTTTGCTTGTCTGGATTCTGCATCTAGATCATTGAGCTCAGGTTCTTTCTACTTGAGCCAGTGGACTGCAATATGGTCTCCCAGCATTATTTCCTGTCTCCTGGATTTCTTCCTGCTTCCTGGTTTTTCAGCCCTACTAGCTGTGCCATTCACGAAAAGCCTCCAGTTGAACATCTGAACAAAAGACTTCAACTCAGAGTTTGAGGCAATTTCTTCATATATATTCCGTGATAGGATATATATGTATGTATAAATATATGTATGTGTGTATGTGTGTGTATATGTATATATATGTATGTATATGTATATATATGTGTGTGTATATATGTGTGTGTGTATGTGTGTGTGTGTGTATATATATATGTATATATATATATGGTTTGCCTCTGTAGGGAACTCTACCTTACACAAGCACCAACATGTACTTAGTTTTTCAGGATATAATCTTTAGAGAAAAGTGTAATTTTCTGCTTTCCTGACTGTGTGCATTTTATTCACCAATATGCCATCCCAAACCTGACCACTTTTCTCTGTCTTTATCGCTACAGCACTAAATTAAGCCACAAGTATATTTTCCCTGCATAATTCCATGTTCCAAAATGGTCCATTTGTCTCTAGTTATAAACCCTACAGCAGCTCCACCTAGTGGTTGGAGTGATTTTTTACACTAATGTCAATGACCTCTGCTGAAGTAAACCTGTAGGCAGCCCTGGTGGTTTGTGGTGAAGCATTGGCCTGTGACCTGCATGCTAGCAGCTCTAAACCAACAGAAGCTCCTCCGGAGAAAGATGGTGCCTTCTTCTCCTGTAAGCATTTACAGTCTCAGAAACCCACAGGGGGCGCTATGAGCCAGCACTGACTTTTAAGAAGTAAAACTAGTGGTGCTGTCAGGTAGGCATTGAAATGCTAACCACAGGGTTGCTGTTTCAAGACCACCTTATAGCCAACAGGAGAACCCTGAGGCTATTTGGACACTTGGTATTGGGTTGCTGTGAGTCAGAATTAACTCAAGAGCCGTGGGTGGCATAGCCCTTCTGGGGCTTCACCTATATCTTGATATAAAATTCAGATTTCTTCCCATGACAGTCTGGTCTTGAATCCTTTGGCTCCTGACTCTCTCCTGAGCCTCATCTCCGTCACTCTCCCTCTTGCTTGCTCTGCTCCAGTCACTCTGCCTTCCCTTCCACCCTCAGCCCAGGAAACCTCTTCTCACGTGTAGACCTTCCATCTGAAGTTTCCTCTCCCTGGAACCCTTGTCTCCTAGGTCTTCACAGGGCTGACTTTTCTCCTCCTTGTCCTCACCCATCTTCTCGCTACACGTCATTTTCTCAGGGAGAAATCTCAAGTCACTTGTTGTGGAAAGAATTTCTGAATTCATATGATAAAGATACATAATTCCTGAAGAAGATGACCATTTCTTCAGAGTTCATGATGTTACATGACCTGAGTGCCTGACGCAGATGACTCTGCCTCTACCTTAGCCCACCTGTAATAATGACCGCAGCGAGTGGGTACTTACGTTGGGTGTCCCTGCACAGGGCCAGAGGAGGGCTCAGCACCATCAGTATCGGTATGAGAGCTGCCAAGCTCACCATGCTGGAGACCAGGAGGACACAGGAGGAGAGGAGCAAGCAAGTCTCTCAATGAGAACTTCGACCCTCCTCCACCCACATCCCAATAAATAGGAACCAAAGGACTCACTGCTTTGTCTCTGGATTGGGTAACCGCAGTGCTGAGATCCAATCAGCACACGAGTTGAAAAGCATCACCTGTTGCTGGTCAGAGATTTAGTCTGAAGGTCCTTTCCTGAAACAGACTGGTCTTCAGGGAAGAGGATTATTTCAATGCAGTGCTTTAAATAATTGAACCAACTACATTTAAAATCTTTAAATTGGTTCCTATTGTGAGCCTGTTCTGTGCTAATCAGTGAGGCGTCCACACAAGTTTAAGTCTTTCAGGAGCCTTCATCTCTCCTTTGCTTGGAGAGACAGCTGTTCTTGTGACTGTAAGTGTTAGTGTATTTAGGGGTAGAGATTGTTGACAGATCTTTGATTTTTTTGTCTTAATCCACGTATAGACGTGAGAAACTGGACCATTCACAGCCAAAATGAAGACATGGTAATTTTTTCAGGAATTTTAATTCTAGAACACACAGTGATTCTTTGGATATTAGGAGGCTTCTCCAGATGAAGCTTTCCCTGGTAACTGATGACATCACAGAAGTAGAGCTTTTGATTGGACAAGATAATCTGTACTTTAAGAGATTGGAGTGTGTCCGATAAACAAGAGAAATTAAAAGTGAATCAATAATTTAACCGAATGAAACGTTTTTCAGCTTTCTTTCCTATAATAGTGGCTGCGTTTAGTGGCTTCTACAGCACACATGGAGCCACTTTATGTGGCATTCAAGGTGTTTCATGTATATCACTTAACCCAAAGCTGATATAAGATTAATGTTTCAAGACAAAGGATCTAAAAGGCTCAGAGATCACTAAAGCACTCCTACTCTGCCTGAACCCCAAAGAGCCTGCTTTAGAATCATGTTTATGTGGGACAGGGTTCAGTCCATTGCTCTCAGTCCCATGACGATTATTCTCACTTAACCAGGCATGTTTTTCTAAATTGATCTTCCCTTGTTTACCCCCAGGAGTGATATGACAACACTTTGCTAATTAATATGTTATAGAATATTCATGATATAGAAAAGTAAAGAGGAAACTATGAATTGCATAATTTCATGTAACCAAACTATTTGAAGCACAAATTTCTCTTTTCAGACAATCATTAAAGATATAAAATAAATGTCTCATTTCAGATTCAGCATTAAGTTTATATAACACCTGCAACAGTAAAGATATCTAATTCTGTATTGGAGGAAAGAAGTGTGATAAAAATCAAAGACGTCTGCAAACAACTGGTCCAAAAGAACAATAGCCCACACAAACACCAGTCTCCCCAACCTTGAGACAGAAGAACTCGATGGTTCCTGACCACTACCCCCAATTGCTCTCAAAAGGGTCACATTAAAAGGTCTGAATGGAATGGAAGAAAAATGTGGGACAAAATTCAAATTCCTAAAAGAAACCAGGCTTACAGATCAGATAAAGACATCCAAGAGTATGGCCCTTTATCCCCCTAAAATTTTGAACTGAACCCACCCCTGTTTTAGAGCAATCCACCATTTAGGATCAAAAGGGCAGCATCTAGCAAAGGACACAGCTCACAGGGGAAGAAAGGAAGAAAATGGAACCAGGAAATACAGGGAGAAAATAGAATAAGGGATTATACAATGAGAGGATCTCGATGGATGAGTGGGAACCAAATGTAACTAAATTGTTGAATGTAAAATTAATGATCAGCTCTGAAAACCATTTGATTCACAGTGAAAAAATTTAAAGAATTAAATTCTGCATTAATTCGTATCTAACATAGTACTAACAAGCAAACTCTCTCTCCTTTTTAAATTTTTTTATTGGTGGGGGGGTGTCTTACAGCTCTTATCACAATCCATATAGACATCCATTGTGTCAATCAAGCACATTAGTACCTATGCTGCCATCATCATTTTCGAAACATTTTCTTTCTACTTGAGCCCTTGTTATCAGCTCTTTTCCCCTCTCCCTACCTGACCTTCCCTCCCTCATGAACACTGCATACTTGATAAATTATTGGTTTTTGAATTTTAATTTTTTATTTCTTATGCTGACCGATGTCTCCATTCACCCACATTTCTGTTGTCCATCCCCCTGGAAGGAGGTTATATGTCAATCATTATGATCGGTTCCCCTTTATTCCACATGCCCCCCCTTCCCTTACCCTCCTAGTATCATTATTCTCATTATTGGTCCTGAGGGGTTTATCTGTCCTGGATTCCCTGTGTACATGCTCTGATCTAGATGGATTTGTGAGGTAGAATTGAGGTCATGATAGTGGCGGGGTGGTGGAGGCTGGGGGATGAAGCATTAAAAAGCTAAAGGATAGTAGTGTGTTTCATTGGTGCCATAAGGCACCCTGACTGGCTCATCTCTTCCTTGTGATCCTTCTGAAAGGGGATGTCCAATTGACTACAGATGGGCTGTGTACACATTCTGGGTGTGCCAATGGATGCTGCAGTTTCCCATGAAGATATTGAGGAATTGGGTTGCATGTAGGAATCTGCACACTTCTGGCACATCACTGCTACACTGTCCACTCTGAGATCTCACATGCATTTATGGGGAAGTGAAGAGATGTACTCAAACACTCCACACAATTCCTAAACAAGAGTCAGGGGAGTTGTGAATCTGTACATCTTCTGCATTGTGATGCTGCCCCACAATGAAATCAGTCACTTGGCTAGATTGGGGCTGGTATTATGAGGCCCAAGCTGAGAGTCTTCTGCGTTTGGGGCCACCAGATTTTAAATTTATACTTACCTGGAGACTCATAAAACTGCCATAATTGATGTCTAAATCATCTCCAAAGAGTCCTGTCACTTGGAAACAGCCTAAGCTTCCATCGATAGACGAGTGGATTAGTAAACTTTGGCACATACACACAATGGAGTACTATGCAGCACTGAAAAGCCCGGTCGATCACATGAAACACCTCACCTTGTGGGAAGAGCTGGAAGGAATCATGCTAAGCAAAGTAAGCCAAAAGCAAAAGGACAGATATAACATGAGTCCCCTGAGGTAAGTACAATCAGCACGTCAAGAATAGAAGAATAAATACCTATCTCACAATAAACAGGTGGAAGCATAGACAGTTGGAGGGAGGGCAAGCCACACCTAGGGAGGTACATGAGAGTCCAACATAAAGAAGGGGAAGGGGGACAAGTGGAGGGAGAAGCAGGGTGGAGAGAAACTGAGTTGATAGCACAGGGGGAACAGGGCACTAACCCACCCAGGGGGAGAGTGAGAGTATTGGTTGTGTCCCCACAGAGCTGGAATGTACATACAGACTCCATCAGGACACGCCAAACCAGAAGAGCAACGTAACACACGGAGGAATCCACAAAGAGACTGGACCATACGCCGGCCCTAACCAGAATTAGCCTGACCCCCACCACGGAAGGGAGTACCACAGAAAATGGAAGTAGATGGTCTGGTGTGAGAAAGGAAATGACCTACCACACCACACCCAGAAGGAAGCTGAAGCAAAGGAAGGAGGAGGAAAGGAGCGGAGCACACCTGGGCCCACCAAGCTCAGAGGACGATAGCCCAGCTCGGAGGGCCCAGTGTACAGAGAGGACCATATAGCTGCCCTCATAGCGAGATGCGACATCCTGCACTGACCCATGGCCCTGCACGGGACAGCACCGGAGACACAGTGTGGGATGGGTGACAGCTGACCCCACCACGCTGAGGCAAAACAGTGGGAGCGTGAAATGGAGCGACAAGGAAGCAGAGCAAGGAGGTCCCGAGGGAAGACAAACGATGGACTCTGGGGCCAGGATGTGGCACCCCATTAGACTCATCCAGAAAACGTTCCTAAAGATCAACAAACAGACCTTGAACTACTAACATGCTTTTTTTTTCTTTTCTTTTTCTTTTTTTTTAGCCTATTTGTTTTGTTTTGTTTCCTTTTTTCTCTTCTTTTAAATTTTGTATGTCAGTGGCTTTTTTGTTTGTTAGCTTGTCGGTGTTGATGCCGTCATTGCCATGTTCTTATGTGTCACTTTGGTACTGTGCTGTCAAAGCCATCCCCAATTTTATTCACAAATTAATATATCTGCACGTCCACCTAGATAAGAGAGGCTGGACCAAAAAAAAACTGTGAGAAGAAAATAAAGGGACCAGTGGCCCCGGAGGGACATGGGAGTGTGGGAGGGAGGGGGTGGGAGGGGGTACTGGCCAACCCAGGGACAAGGAACAACAAATGATTCAAAACCAATGGTAGGGAGGGGATGGGAGGACTGGTAGGGAGTAACCAAGGGCAAGGTAACTGAGAGGAATTACCGAAACCAGAATGAAGGTTGAACATGGTAATGGGACAGGAGGAAAGTGTAAGGAAATAGAGGAAACAAGTAGGAGGCAACGGGCATACATAGAAGCCTACATACAGACATGTGCATATGTAAATATATTTAAGATTATGGGGGAAATGGACCTAGGTGCAAATATTTATA